GTGTTCCCAGATGTCTCTAAGCATGGTTCTTTCCCAAGGGATTTAGTTTATATCATCATGTCCTTGCAATGTTATGTGGTATGACAGCCACATCGATAAACACATGCATATTGGCATATGTTAACCCCTACTCTCTAAATAGTTTGTTTCTGTTCAGCGTTAACATCAGTTTGAAGGTGCACAAAAATGGAATTTGATCACAAAATGTCTGTTTTTTTTAAAGAAAATCTCAGGACCAGATGCAAACTTTGTTTCAACCTTAAGTATACATTTGTGATTAGAAGCCCATCTTCAATAGAAGCGCATATACACCAAAAATTGCATTAACTGTATATTAAATCATTAAATATTATTTATTTTTGACCATGGAATTAACATAAGCACATGCACTACTTATAGAGCAGGTATCCTCTTTTACTAATTAGGTTATTATGCTTTGATTGCAGATACATGTTGGAATTTTAGATGCATTGTGACAGTGCCATGTTATTAGTGTTATTGGTTACCTGGACTTTTGTACTCTTGCCCTATGATAAGAGATAAACGACATAAAATAAAAGCAGCCGTAGTTGACACCAAAATGGCGACAGTGGTCAGTCGAAGTAACCGACATATCCAGAACCTGGATTTACCACAGCGATACAGTGCGGCTCCAGTTATTCCTGCAATATCGCGTTTGAGTTTCCATGACAGATCAAGCAGTGATTCCAATCTCGCGCACCCCAACTTTCTGAATCGTTCAAGTCTCTCAGTGAACAAATATGTATATATAGTTGGCACTGGTGATAGGCTTATTGTGTACTGGGACATTAAGGAAGAGGTGGGAGCCACTGATTGGATAGGCCTTTTTCATGTTGGTAAGTATGACCAGTGTAATTTTTTTAATTTTATCTATAGGTGGGGTTGAACCCTCAATTCAGCATCAATTTGCCTAGTCCAGAAATCAGATACATTAACATCTTGACTATCTCGACACCCCCCCCCCCCCCATAAAGTCATTTTGACCAAGTTTACCTTATCCCGAAAATGACTTAGACTATGATGGCAGAGGACGAAGAGACCTTCAGTCCAATTAAACACATCAATGTGCAGAGTTTACCTATTCCCTATTATTACTAAACTATAATGGTAGAAGAAATGTACACAGGCAATATTCTCAATATTACAGAATTCATACTAAATGCAAAAGCCCTCTAGTAATTAATAGTCGGTTTGTCACAAAGCCAGTGTTGTCAAATATCTAATATATTTTTTTTTCAGAATGAAAAACAAATACGTTAAAAAAAAAAGGTTAAAGGTCTCTAATTTTATTAGATTAATCATTCAGTGTCAACTTCCTATCTTTAAGAGCATGTTGACTAAAATTATGGTATCTTGATGTACTATACTGTACATTTTGTTATGGCTAAACTGAAAAGTGAAAACTAGAAGGTTCTCACTTGCTGAATGCTGAATATATTATTCACATGAATGTTTCAACCAGCAACATCATGTTGAAAACAATTTCAAGATTAATTTAAATTAAAAATTACAAATGTATGTAATAAACTGTTATACCTACTTTACCCTATTTTTGTTTTACGTGTACCAGAAACACATAAACAAATTAATTTATTTATTTTGATTTTTTAATGGTTAACTGTGTGAGAAACAGATAATATCTGAGACTGTATGAGATGGTGATACCTTTGATTGGATACCCATGTATCTGTGTTGAAATGGTAATTAGCCATGTGAACTCAATATAATTAGGTGGAATTATACCAAACAATTGTTATCAACAATTCAATTTTATTTAAAACCTGAATGTATAAAATCACTTTCTGGGATATCATGAGGTTATTTTAATGGTTAACTGTGTGAGAAACAGATAATATCTGAGACTGTATGGGATGGTGATGCCTTTGATTGGATTCCCATGTATCTGTGTTGAAATGGTAATTAGCCATGTGAACTCAATATAATTAGGCGGAATTATACCACACAATTGTTATCAACAATTCAATTTTATTTAAAACCTGAATGTATAAAATCACTTTCTGGGAGGTTATCATGAGGTTATTCTTAAGTAATCAAACTATTTATCATTAATTACATGTATGTCTACTTGAGATGAGCAATATTTCATCAAAATATATTATATAAAAGGTGAATTCCATTATGACTGCAAAATAGTCATCCTTCCAAGCCTGTCGATATTAGATATTGTAGGTCGTAACTTCTTAATTAACATTAAATTCACGAAATGCTGAATGTTGTGTGTAGATGAAAACCTGTAAGTGATAAAGGATTGCACGATGTGTAATAATTAATTTTATTATGCCTGAATATAATATAATGTAATAGAAATTGACGTTTACAGGGTAGCTCGTAACCAAATACTACTGTTACTTGTATAGTATTACTGATGAAGGACCATTGCCTGAATAATTACCAAGCACTATGATTAGAAATGTCTATACTTATAAATATGTTCTTTAGCAAATTAATTATAGAATTTGACATTTCTATCATCATATGTGACTGGGTGCCACTTTTGTTTACTGATCTTGAGATCAAGTCACTTCCTGTCTAAAGTAACCTGTTAACATGTGATCCATCATAGCATTTGTAAATCAGTTCTTCTTGTTACTAGCGATTCCCGGATCTGTTTTGAGTGCTTTCCACTGTAAACCGGAGAATGTAATCCGAAACTATGCTTAAAACTGTCGATTTTCACTGTCACACACAAATTGTATCATTTGTATGTCTCTTTGTATCATAAAATTCTAAGAATATCCACTTGCCTGGTAATTTTATTCAAAACAACATCTTGTTTTTTTGTTCCAGTTCTTTTCAAAATTGTTGACAATTAATCCAATCTGTTTAGTTGCATAATTCATTTTTTTATCACACACATTGACAGATCCTGTTAAACCTTGATACAAAGACTTAACATGGATCTAATATTGATTTCTCAGACATGGTTTTAGGGCTTGAACTCAAAGGTATTGAAGGCAGTGATGTCCAAACAGTTCGCCTGTGCTTCAATATTTACTATAATATTATTTCTATGTTGCCAAGGCAATGTCAATGTGAAGCTACTCACAAGGTTGTGCTGGATTGATTACCAATCAGACCAATCAGAGAGCAGCCTGTCTGTTGACACATTTTTTCGATGTATCAAATTTTGCCTTGTACATGTATATATACTTAGACTCAACTGCAGTTTTATAGACTTTGGCCTTGAAAATGGATGCCTTCTCAACTCTGAAATTCAAGCCCTGTGTTTTCATTAAAACTTATCTTACCTGTAAGGAACTTGTCGGCCATTTTGTCAAATATAATATTATGAACTGTGATTAATGATATATGTTATTAAAAATTACTGCATCTGATTTTTCTAATGATCAAGCATTTGTTGTTTCTCACAATATAAATTTTGACATGACGAGCATTTTTAGCTCCGCTGTCGACTTTGTCGAGCGGAGCTTATCATATGAGTGATTGTCCGTCGTCGTCGTGTCGTTTTACTTTTTCGACTTCTTCTTGAAAACTACAAGCCTGAATGCTTTGATACTTGGTGTATATGTACCTTGGGTAGACCTCTCTTAGGTTTGTTCATTTCATGTTGATATCTTCAATTCTCTAATTTTGGTGAATATTTTTGTCATTTTTGGTAAAAAGTGATATTTTCGACTTCTTGTTAAAAACCGCAAGTGCAATTGCTTTGATATTACATATATAGGTACTACATGTGGACCTCTCTCAGATTTGTTCATTTTGTAATGATATCTTTAATTCTCTAATTTTGGTGAATATTTTTGTAATTTTTGGTAAAAAGTGATATTTTCGACTTCTTGTTAAAAACCAAAAGTTCAATTGCTTTGATATTACATATATAGATACTACATGTAGACCTTTCTCAGATTTGTTCATTTTGTGATGATATCTTCAGTTCTCTAATTTTGGTGAATATTTTTGTCATTTTTGGTAAAAAGTGATATTTTCGACTTCTTGTTGAAAACTAAGTCCGATTGCTTTGATATTACATATATAGGTACTACATGTGGACCTCTCTCAGATTTGTTTGTTTTGTGATATCTTCAATTCTCTATTTATTTTGGTGAATATTTTTGTAATTTTTGGTAAAAAGTGATATTTTCGACTTCTTGTTAAAAACTGTAAGTCCGATTGCTTTGATACTATTCATGTTGTTCATTTTCTAATGATGTCTTCAGTTCTTTAATTGAAATGTGCATTGCTAACAGCGGAGCTATCTCAGCCGATAGGCTGCTTGTTTTTTAAGGAGGTTCGGCTGAATTGAAGGTTATATGTTATCTTCTTCACACTTTTATTATCTTTGGTTAATGCCATATTAATAAGGAAAATAACAAAAATACGGGTCACCAGATAAATTTTGAGTAAAAATATTTCAAAATGTCATGGAAATATCAAAATCTGCCTTTTTTGCACTGGTTTCCATGGTGACGACGGTTGAAAATACTTTATCTTAGTATTGATATGAATCCTAATATTGTTGACATTTCAAAAAACATGTCTCCCACAATGCATTGCATATATGTAAAGTAACAGTAGTGCTGAATTTTAACTGCCTTCAGATAGGTAGCCATTGTTAAATAAGATGATTACGATTTCTTGACTTTCACAATATGGTTTTATTTTGTGCCACAAATCCCAGATAAAAATGTATGGTTTCCAAACTACTTTTTGTACAAAATACTGGTCAAACATCCATTACGGTGGACTGCTACTCACCTAGTGTTTTGTGTACATATTTTATTATTATTCATTTTAGTATTAATCAACATTATGTGAACTTTTTTAGTCAATCTGCTTTTTGATTGAGAAAAACTGTAAAAGAATATGCATATAAAATGTCATTTTAGCACGGTGACCCTTTATTTTTATTCTTTTTTCTTGTGATATAAAATATCAAATATTTAAAAATGAAGAAAATTACAATATTTTTACTTTTGTGTAGCTTTTAAAATAGTGATGGTTTCAGTTGTAAAATGTTTCCATCATTTTCAAAATTTTGTTCAATTACATGTACCGATAAAATATCATATTTTGTAATATGATGGGTAATTATCATCGTTAGAAATTATTAGGAAATTTTGATGAATACTATTAATTATGTGAAATAAATTTCAAAAATATATAT